GCTATATTGCCTCCATTTATTATGTAGATAGTCTAGATTTCGGTCCTTATCAGTTTGGCTTTATCAGGTTACTTTAGCAGCTATTGAGTAGTTTTCACTTAATAGACCACAATGGACCAACTTCAAAAGATTCAGTGCTTTGGTTTGGTTCAGATAAGCAACTCAAAGCTTGTATGCTTATCCAAGACTTATCTGAACAATTTGGACCCAGGTAGCTTATAGGAACAAAACCACAGATAACGGAAAGTTAATATTTTACATTAATAATACACCAGCATTTCTAAGAGAAGAAGTAGAAGGGACTGTAAATTAGGTCAGAATCTTAACTGGGTAAATCAGCATCGTTCCATTGAAATCAGTCTAGTCTGGTCCTTTATGCTGTCCTCTAAGTATGTATTTAATCTGAAGTAACTAAGTATTTAAATACTTAAACTGAATATTTAAGTTGAGCTCTGGTGTTCCTAGATTTTTATACATGGTTTCCTCCCCTCTTCAAATAATAAATGGTTAGCAAAAGTTGACTTAATGGGGTTTCCTGGTGAGAATTATTCTTTTAGGATCTTGAAGAGGGATTCCATCATGGTGTGTGATTGTGTAGAAGAGAAAGCAATACCTTCACTGATAACATTGCACATATTCAGAAATTGCTACTTTCTGAGCTAAATATAGTGTGTGTTCAATCATGTAGTAGGCAGAATTCTACCTGGATGAATAAGCTTATTGAAGCAGAAAGGGTTTTACTCAGCTGATTTCAGGAGAGTCTCAAACTTCCATAGTATGATTAAGTGGATTCAAAAGGCCCTGCTTTTTGTTTGCAGTGTCAGCTGGAAGATGTATGTATTGAAAGTAAGGGTCTGGAACACTAGCTGGTATGTAGTCTGTTTTCTGTTAGTTTTGAAGAATGTGTTATGGGTGCAGTTTTGGGAAGTACAAAGGACACAACTATGGGCAAAGGGTCATGCCTCGGGTCAAAAGAATATGAATATCTCACCTGGGCTATTGTAACTACTTTCTCTCCAGCCTTAATGATTTTATCCCATCTTCAAATCTTCCCAACATTCAGCAGCTAAAACAATCCTACCTTCTCAATACTCTGACCATGTCAACCCTCCTTTGTTGGCTCCTTGCCTCTTTCACTTACAAAATTCTGGTCAACTGAAACCTCTGTCTGCATCTCACCTCTCATCACTGACACATGAACTCTGTCCACTGTTCTGCAATGTGGAGTAGTCAAATCAAAACAAACTAGGATTAAATCCAAATAAAATTATTTACTGGTTTGTTTGCAGATATGTACTGAAATAGGAGTAGTATTTGTCACTTGGGTTCCTAGGTGAGAAAAAGACTGAGGGTGAAATCCTAGCCCCACTGAAATCAAAGGGAGTCTTAATTTAAAATTGCTAAAATTTTACCCATTACCTGTATTAATTTCCTAATTTGTTTTCAGATTTTGCACAGAAATATTTTTCTACTAAGAAGTTATATGTTTAAAATGCTCATCCATAAAGAAAAAGATCATTCCAGAGTCTCATTAACTGTACATACAACACACACACACATATAAAACTGATAAGCAAATAGCCGGAGTTATACTGCAGCTAGTCACACATTCTGATATAGAGCTCCATTGTGAAAGGTGCTGAGCACTCTGTCTTTGGTCTTTAACTTGCAGGATGTGAATGGTTCCATTGCAGTGCTTGAAATCAAGTACATGCTTAAGTGATTTTGTGAATGGGGACCAGAGTGCTCAGCAATATGTAGAACTGTGCCCATATTGAACTTCCAGAAGTCAAGAAGGCTGAAATGCTAAATGACTTAAGTACTTTTGAAAATCCCTCCTTTAGGTGGCAAATTATGGTTTTAGGAGCCTAACTTTAGGCTCCTATTTTGAAAATGTTGGCCTCTGTGTACAACGCAGTTCAGAATAACAATGTTAATGTGTTGAGTCTCAATAAGTTCTCATTGTTAACACTAGGCAATTTATTTTGAAGTGACAAAGGTTTTATGTCACGAAGACATTTTAAATAAAAAATACAATTTTAGTCCCAGATGCTGCACACACTTATGCACATGTTAACTTTAAAACAATGGGACTATTCATCTGAGTCCCTTTCACATGAGCAGAGTTTCTTATCCGCTTAAGTGATTGAAGCATCAGGGCCTTAAGTTGCAATATTGTGTTTTTTGCCTATCACAGTTTTATGGAAGACAAATAAGAGACTGTACCAGTAGTGACATTTTAAAGAGGAGTATTTATAACGTAATGCATTATAAATGTTAATCTAAAAATGCCATAGCTAAAACTTTAAAATTAGCTTTACAAAACTCCAACCCTGATTTAAATCAGTGATTTAAACAATAAATAAATAAAAATCAAATTATTTGAAATTATAGTTAAATCAGTTATTCAAATTGCTCTATTTTGCCTGGTATTTCTGAGAATGGGTGATCGCCTCATGAAATACCCACATGAAATAGATTTATCAGAAAACAGAACAGCTCCCACCCATAGTACTGGCAATCTTGCCCACTGACACTGAATTGAGTGTATTCCCTAAAAGAATCCCAGGTTTTACTGCTGAAAGTTTTTGAAAAGAAGAACAAATTTCCCAAATTTATAAATAACCATTTTTGTGGAATTTGAGGAGGAAGGGCACAGATAATCTATGCCTGTTATGTAACGTAATTTCTTTCATTTTATTGTCTCTGTATATTCCTTTTTTGCTGTCCTGCTAAGGCTTTTCCACAGCTCTTTGGGAGTCTTTCCATTGACTTCAGTAGCTTTGGATCAGGCCTTATCCATACAGATCTGCTTTAAAAAAGTGTATGTTTGAAGAGATCTTCCCCAGCCCCCAGCAATCCTGTATATTTCATATAAAAGTCCCCCTCTGAGGCAACTGACCAGTGAGAATCAGTATTGTGATGGGCCCCTATTTTCATAAAAAGACCTGTCATTTCTGTATTGCCATAGCTTCCAGCTTGTTCTACACTAGCACTACTGCAGGGAAGCAGCAGAAGACTGGATGGATAAGTGCTTTAAGGGATTCTCTTAAAAAAGCATATGATCTTTAACAAACAGGAAAAGGCTGCTTGATCCTACAAGCCTGTTCAATTTTTGAGTGACATTGACCATTCCTCCCCCCCGCCGCCACCCGGCTTCTATTTTGCTATATCCTAACATCCTTTGCTCCTCCAGAAAGACTTCTCAGTTGTCTCTTAAATCCATTTTATGCCATTTACTCCAGTGGCCTCTCCTAGAAACTAATTCCATATGCTCATGACTTTTTGAGGGAAAACATGCTGTTTAGATTCCCTATGTATGCTTAGCTTTCTATTTTTAATTTTTTAAAAAAGATTATGCCTCTTGAGTTTTTTTTTTTTCACTGTTCATCTGAGTAAAATAATTGCCTGGATTAAAATTATGAAGGGCACTGATAGTTAAAGACTTCTCTTTATTTGACTTTAAACCTCCACATTTACGAGGAAAACAAGTCCATCCTCTTGGCATTCTTCATTGCTTGGATTCTTGAGACCAAGACTTGAGCTTCTTTGCCCTGGATCCACATCTCTTCCATGGTTAGTGATTTTATAGACCAGATCCTCAGCTAGTTTAAACTACCATAGCTTCATTGATGCTAATGGAACTATGCTGATTTACACCAACTGATAATATGACCCTTTAACTGTGACAGCAGTCCACATTACCCAGGTTTGTGATGCCATGCACAAGGGTATTATCTTTATATGGTTCTGTCATTTAAGGTGACGCTAATGTTTTAACCTGGTCCTCTTTGCATCTCCTTGGGAACATTGCTAAACTCCTGCCCATGATATTGTTACCATCTTTACACTGGCCAATCTGTGCATTGTAAATTCTAAATTAGGTTACTTGTTGATTTATGAACTAGAAGATGGAACTATTTATAGGTTTTAACTCTTACAAAATATTGCTTCCAAGATCCTTACATATACTTTTTTTTAAAGAGATATCTTCAATTACTACAGCCAATTCCTAAACTAGTGGTCGTAAAAACATGCCAGTTTTATCTGTCCATTTCCAGACACCAACTACTCCCAATCACCCTTCCCTATACCTTTTCATTAGGTTCTCTTATAACAAAAGGTCTTCTTGCTATTTTCTTTCCAGGCTGTTGAGAAGGTTCACCCTCAGTATCAGTGGAAAGGCTTCTATAGAAGATGCCTTCTTATCCTTAAGGAAAAGGGAGGGTGGCAACCGATCCTGGTTCTAAGGGTAGGTCTACTCTTAAAACTCTGCATTGGCACAGCTGCACCAATGCAGCCTCACTGCTGTAGGGCTTAAGTGAAGACATTGGTATGCTGATGGGAGAGAGCTCTCCCATTGGCATAGTTAATTCACCTCCCTGAGATGCAGTAGCTATGTTGATGGGAGAAGCTGTCCCACTGACATAGTGCTGTCTACACAGAGGGGGCAGTTAAGGTTGGTATAATTATGTCACTCAGGGGTATTGATTTTTCACACCCTTGGTAGTTATACCGACATAGGCCTGCAGCGTAGATGTGGCTTAAGACACCTCATAAAGAAGTTGCAATTCAGGAAGGCTACTCTGGCATCAGTAATCCCCACTCTGGAATCAAGGGGCTGGTTCCCATCTTTCAGTCTTCAAGATGCATTCTTCAACATAGCTATAATCCTATCACACAGGACGTACTAAGATTCATGGTGGGCCAAGAACATTATCAAAATAGGGTGCTTCCCCTTTGTCTCTCAGCCACCCCAAGGGTGTTTACCAAAGTACTCATAGCGTAGCTCAGGAAGAGAGACACCACAATGTATCCATACGTGGACGACTGGCTGGACTTGGGGAGATCTTCTCAGTAGGCCTTGAGCTCTGTCCTCCTTATACGAACCTTTTCTGCAGCTTGAGCTTGAAAATCTGTCTATTAAAACCTACCGATTCCCTTCCAGAACATCATGTGATTATCAAGTAAGAGACTGTCCTGCTTCTCTGTTTCTCTAGGTTGCACTTTTGAAGGAAACAACTACAACAGCTCCATAAAATGGCAAGCCCCAGCTAATCCATGTATTGCATATCAGTGTCAGGTAAGGGCTGGAAGTCATGAAGTTAACAAATGCAGAATTGTTTGCTTTCTCTCGTGAAAGTCTGAATCTTTTGTATTAAATCCAAACAATATATTTAAAATCTTCAGTTTCTTAAGTCAAGAAAAACAAGAGATCATGTTCAGAGTTAAGGCTGCTGCTTTGTCCTTAACTCATCCAGTTGTGACCAGCTATAGTGCAACATTCAGAACAACAAAGTTACTTATCTTAAATACTGAGATTCTAATCTAAAACATACCTGGATGAGCTAAGGATGGAGGGCTAGCCTGAACACTGGAATTATTTAGCTTTTCTCAGCAATCATTAGACTTTTAACAAAATATGAGTGTGCACCTGTTTGTGAGAGACACACCAATCTGGAATACTAATTAAAATAAGCTAACAAACAACCCATTTCTTTTCCCTGAGCTACTGATTTGTCGACATAGTGGGCTGCATTTCTGATAGCCTTCCTGAGTTGCACCAATAAAATCCACAAGAGTATTCATCTGCAGACGCACACATTGCATTTGTGTACACAAGCCAGGTAACTGACAAATTGATGTTTCTGCAGTCTCTAGGTTTGTCCATACAAATGGATGTGATCACGATCTTTCGGGGGTAAAAATACAAAGTTCTGCTAAAAACCCTTTACTAAGAGCTGCATTTTCTTCGGACCCAACATTGATGTCAGTACTGCCTTTAGAAATAAGGTGGATGCCCAAGTTTAAATACTCTGCACAAATATTTTGAAGGGGACTGGAAATATTCAAAGGGATCTTTTTGGGTACCTTTTGGCACCAGGTAGTCAGATACTAGCTCCTTTTTTGCAAAGGCCCACCTGCTGCATTAATGATTTTCATGGGCATCTAAAACTGGCTGTGTCCACAAAACCTCTTTAGAGAGGAAAAGTAAAAGGAAAGCATGCCCAGTTTTTAAATGTGCATAGATTGAGAATGTTATGGGCTGCAATTAAACAAGAGCAACATAGCATATAACCATACATTTTCTTTATAATAAGATGTTCAAAGCTTACATTTGGATAGTTTGATCAGTGCTGGGCATGTGAAATGAGTACCTACTTGTCTAAGTGCCAGTCTGAATGTCCAAAATGCAAAATTGGATAATCCTATTTACCCGATGTGCTCAAGTTTTGAAAATTAGGCTTCCTGTGTTCACAAAAGATAGACTTTGCATCCAGATACTCTTGCCCAGATTCATTCAGCAGGACTTTGGCTTCTTCAACAAGAAGTGCAGGAAATGATAATTTACTAGTACCTATCAGGAGGTGCATCTTAGATAACAGGCTCTCATCTACAGAATGAGATGCTTTAATCTCCTTTCTAAGCCCTTTTTCTCTGAGGGGAGAGTGTAGGGAATGCTTTGTGTCTGTTCTGTTTACATCAAAGCTGCATGGCAGATTATTTCCAAGTTTCCTATGGGTGGGGACCCCTGATAAAGCAGAATTCCTTTTCCTAAGAAGGTTCTTGGTTTCTTACCTGACGCATTATAGGACAAATCTCATGGTTGTTGTCAGGGAGATTCAAGTGCTCTTTTGAGTGTGGATTAATCTGAATCCTGTTAGTGACCTGCAGATACAGAAAGAAAGAGGGATTTGAAAAGGTTTTGCTATACAGCATATATCATGTCATTAATTGTACATCCAGTTTTGCTCCTTATTATAGTGTTTGGTTTGGTTTGTTCCATTTCAGGAAGGAGTGGTAACAGAATCTGAAATGCAGTGTGTTGTCCATTGCAAAAACCCTTCTGAGCTGCCGGGACTGTGTTGCCCCACTTGTCCAGGTAAGATTTCCTAGGGATTCTACTCTTCCATCTGTGCTCAATATTTCTAGTTATTAGGGTTTGGTAAGTATCCACTATAACGGAGAGATTAGGAAGGAAGTTACTGAAATGTGGACCAGTAAAATAGAATGTATTGAATGACATAAGGAATAGAGTGAATAGATATATATATTTTTTAACACCCATATTGGGACACATTTTTTAATGCTGTGGAGTAGGGGAGGGATATAGTATAAGAAAGAGTTTAAACAGTTTAAAATGCAGCTTGTCTGGTTTTTCATGTGTGAGGTATTCCAGAGGTTTTGGCAGCTGTGCAGGGTCTGGCTGGGGTTCATGTTTTAGGGATGAATGTATAGAAGGCGAATGGAGAGGGGCCAGGAGTCACATGTCACAGCATTGATAGGAAGGGGGTTGTTTTGGGAGTAGGAACATGGGGATTATGTTGAGTGTGCAGGGGATTATTTAGGCCTAACATATGATATGACAAGGCAATAAAGGAAGGAGATAGTTTGGAGGGTTGTTCTGTCATATTAGTTTTTACAGGACTATATAACTAGGAGACCATTGCTGCTCTAGTGGTATAATTGGCTTGGTATGTTTAATTTTTTATTATTTCTATCCAAATTTAATGTGGACAAGCACCTTGCTAAAAAAGTGAAATCTTCTGTAAACAGAAGTTAATTAAAATGGGAGTCCTGGCACAATGTGGCACAAAGTATCTGCCATGAAAGAAATTTTCTATGTAAATCCATGAAAGCGCTTCCTCCTCCATCCTGGCACCAAACTAACTTTTTAGGGCTCCCAAGGCTTACACAGGTTACTGCACTGCAATGCACATTTTATTGTTGGATGCATATCTCTGAAAGGATAAAGTAATTCCTTTCCCCATAATTCTACAATACAATCATGTAACAAAGTGTCCCAATCTAAGTCACACTTACCCAAAGTCTGCTTTTCAGGTTGTATATTTGAAGGTAGACATTACCATGAAGGGAAGGAATTTCAGCCGGAAGGAAACAAATGCACCAAGTGTTCTTGTATTGTAAGTATTTCTCTCTGATATTGTAACTAACATTACAGTCTTCAAAAGGCATATTATTATTGTCATAACTTGCAAAATATTTATAGGGGAGGCAACACTAATGCACACTCTTCTCTCCTCTTATTGTTGGAGGTCAAGCTTTATTAGAAGATTTCACTATGCAATTGCTTTCTATAGCACTACTTCCATTCCCAAGTTGGCATACTTTTCATGGCTATGTGTAGTTGAGACGGTAGAGCAATGTATTTGGGAACTGGGGATTTGATGGTCCAGAAGGGAGGCTGGTTCTGAGTGAGAGCTTTTTGTTTCTTGTTGAGATCGGGTTATAGAGAGATAAGACAACAGTAGACAGGATTTTCATATGACATCTATTGGCCAACATCTGTTGTATGTGTCCTACTGATTTTGCATGGGATTTCATATCAGAATCATATGGCAAGGGGCATAAACTTATCCTGTGGGTTATGTTGCTTAATGAAAGGTGGATGGCTAATAAAGTCCTCACCACTGTGATTAAAATATGGGCATGGCACCTGTCTTTGGTTGCCTTTTGTAGACCTGACTGTATGATTCTGTTGGTTTTGTGTTGGCACAGCTCTCACCAGTGAACTAACTGGCTCAGCATAAGCCTTCTGAGGGCAAGGAATAATGTATGGTTGTGCTTTTAGCATCCTAGGAATTGTCCCATTACAGAGAAAGTCCTCTGAGAGTGTCCACCTACAGTGTAAAGCCCCAGAATAGAGTTACCTTCAAACTTCCCAAGTTGTAACGACTGTCCTACTATCCCACTGGATCCCTCACTGAAATGACTAAACTTTTTTCTAGTTCATCCTTATTGTCCATAGTGTTTATGCAGATAATTCTCCTATATGTTGACTGACATCTTATAAACAGTTAACTTTTATATAGTGCTTTTTATTTGTGGGCCTGAAAGTGGCTTACAAAGGGGGTGAGTGTCATTACCCCATTTAACATGGGGAAAGTAAGGTGTAGAATTTAAGTGGCTTGCTCTGCATCACACAGCAAGTCAGTGTCAGAGAAAGGATTAGAACTTAAGTCTAGAAGCCAGGAGACCCATGTCCAACTGCTCTTCTTGGGGCTACCCCAGAGGGATTTTGATCTTGACGTTTATGAAAGGGCATACCCTGGATCTTGTCCTTGTTTTGCAATTGTGTATATGGAGATTAGCAATTGCATCCTTGTCATGATGAGATTATATACCTCCTTAACGAGGTTTGGGAACAAATTGATAAATTAAAGAGTAATAAGTCACCAGATGGTACACACCCAAAAGTTCTGAAGGAACTCCAATATGAAATTGCAGAACTACTAAGCGTGGTGTGTAACCGGTTACTGAACCAGATGACTGATGGCTAGCTAATGCAATGCCAATTTTTAAAAAAAGGTAATTACAGTCCAGTAAACCTAATGTCAGTACCAGGCAAAATTGGTTGAGACTAAAGTGAAGAACAGAGTTATCAGACTTAGATGAACATAATATAATGGGGAAGAGTCAACACTGCTTTTGGAAGGGAAATCATTTTTCACAAATCTATTAGAATTATTTGAGGATGTCATCAAACATGCAGACGAGCAATCCAGTGGATATAATGTACTTGGACTTTCAGAAAGCCTTTAACAAGGTCCGTCACCAAAGGCCCTTACACAAAGTAATCAGTCATGGGATAAGAAAGAAGGACTTCTCATGGATCAGTAACTGGTTAAAAGACAGGAAACAAAGGGTAGGTATAAATGGTCAAATTTCAAAATGGAGAGGGTAAATAGCTGAATCCCCCAAGGATCTGTACTGGGACCTGTATTGTTCACTGTAGTCATAAATGATCTAGAAAAAGGGATAAAGAGTGAGGTGGCAAGTTTGCAGATGATACAAAACTACTCAAGATAGTTAAGTCCCAGGCAGACTGCAAAGAGCTACAAAAGGATCTCTCGTGACTGGGCAACAAAATGGCAGATGACAGTCTATGTTGATAAATGCAAAGTAATGCACATTGGGAAACATAATCCCAACTATACATACAAAATGATGGAGTCTCAATTTGCTGTTGCCACTCAAGAAGGAGACCTTGGAATCATCGTAGTTAGCTCTCTAAAAACATCTGCTCAATGTGCAGCAGCAGTCAAAAAAGCTATTAGACTGTTAGGAACTATTAGGAAATGGATAGATAATAAGACACTAAATATCATAATGCCACTATATACATCCATGGTACATACACACCTGGAATACTGTATGCAGTTCTGGTTGCACCATCTCAAAAAAAGGATATAGTAGAACTGTTAAAAGTACAGAGAAGGACAACAAAAATGATTAGTCATATGGAACAGTTTCTCTATGAGGAGAGATTAAAAAGACTAGGACTCTTCATCTTAGAAAAGAGACTATCAAATGGGCATGTGATAGATGTCTATGAAATCATGAATGGTGTGGAGAAAGTGAATAAGGAAGTGTTATTTACCCCTTCACATAATACAAGAACTAGGGGTCACCCCATGAAATTCATAGGCAGCAGGTTTAAAGCAAACATAAAGAAGTACTTTTTCATACAACGCACAGTCAACCTGTGGAATTCATTGCCATGGGATGTTTTGAAGGCCAAAGGTATAATGAGTTCAAAAAAGAACTAGATAAGTTCATGGAGAATAGGTCCACCAATGGCTATTAGCCAAGATGGTCAGGGATGCAAACCTCATGCTCTGGGTGTCCCTAAACCTTTGATTGCCAGAATCTGGGACTGGATGATTGGGGATGGATCACTCAATAGATTGCCTTGTTCTGTTCATTCCCTCTGAAGCATCTGGCATTGGTCACTGCTGGGAAGACAGGATACTGGGCTAGGATAAGGTCCATCTAGGCTAGTGTCCTCTCTCTGACAGTGGCCCACACCAGATACTTCAGAAGAAGGTACAAGAACCCTGCAGCAGGTAGATCTGGGATAATCTGTCCCCCATCTAGATCTCATTATAGTCTCTAATAATTAGAGGTTGACTTAAATCCTGAAGCATGAGTTTTAATATCCATTACAAAGAAGGGCTGATGTATTTCATTATAACAGCTGCGGATATTTGTGATATCCATACAAAAGTCCAGTCCCTTTTGAATCTTGCGCACAGTAACAAGGCAGTGTTCCTTTTGTAACTCATGCTCATTGTTATCTCTCTCGCTCCCCCACCCCTTCCCCCTAACTGCTTCTTGCCTGTTTTGTTTTCTTCAGAATTTGGGGCCATATTACCTTCTATGTAATTTAAATTGGAGGTGAACAATGGACCAGCTTAAGAACTGTGATAGCAGTTTACTGCCTGTTCTGTGTCCTTTTCCTTTAAAGAAGGGGTTTGTGGTGAATCTCTTATCTGAGTGGTCAGCGGAGGTCTTATTTAAGATATCTATCTAGTCATGAGATAGTATGGGAACAGCCTTGTGAGTGATGTGCTGTAACATGTGAGGACTTCATTAGATGAAAGGTATTTCCTCACTCCTAATTAGATTTCTACTGTGAAGTGAGATTGGAACTATTCCACATGGCTTTTGGGGAAGAGGAGTGGAAATAAAGTGAAAAAAAGTTTCTGCAAGGATATTTTTTGTAGTGTTGACAAAGGACTTGTGGATATAAACACCTTGTGACAATCACATTTCAGTGTTAGACAAAACTAGGGACTAAGAACGTAACTTTTTAATGACTTATGGTAGGGGATCCAGAATATAGATCCATCATAGCTGGTAGGATAAATGGCCAGGGGATTAAAGTTAACTATTAAAGTTGGGAGAACAAGAATGGGTATTGTCTTCTCTGAATGATGGTCTGCACTCAGTAAATTCATCAAAAGCAGCTATACTGATATTACTTCCAAAAATCTACCTTAAAAATGTTAAGGTTGGAAATGTAAGCACTCCAAAGTTAGGAAAAGTCAGAATTCCTGCACATCTTCACCCAATGAAGTGGTACAGTTCTGTTCTGTTTACAACAGAAGTCTGCCTGTTGAATATGGCTGAGCCCAAAAAGCATAAGAGAGGGTAATTGTGACTTGTTTGTTTGTTTATTTGTTTATTTATTTATTTATGTGAATTTAGTGCCTGAGAATAGTGCCAGATTGAGTGCACTGGAGACTGAAGTGTCCTTTTTATCTGTAGAAAATATACAGAATAGGCAGCGGCTGAGCAATCTTCTTCACACTGCTACGCCCATGTTTCTTAATTCTGAACTAGACAGAATCCATTTCCATGGGTGTATAGGTAGTTCAGTCTCCAAGGATATTCAATCCTTATCCGCTCTGCTGAGCTCACTAATAAGGCTCCCCACTTAGCCCGATTTGTGTTGCTAGCTATTCTCTACTTGAAATTGGACCGAAACCTCCAGATAGGTTCCATCATACATTTGTGTATGCGGGAGTGAGATACCTGATGACCTGGTGAGTATATGGAGGAGCAGCGGGGCTGGGGGTGGTGGTGGTGAAGGAGCAAAGCAGGGAGAGGGCAGGGAGATGGGGAGCATGTAAAGGGCCAATGGGTGGACAGCAGAGGCGACACATAACCAGCTGGTGCCTGCCCGCACTCACCAGCCACTACAGTGCTCAGCATGCAGCCAGTGCCAGCTGGAAACGGGACGGGGGGGGCGGGCTCCTTCTGGCCGAGAGCTGGCATGCAGTGGGGGATGTGCTGATTAACCAACAGGGGGGAGTGGCCTGGCCCCACGCACTGCAGTTCTGCCCCGCCACGCCACCAGCCTTGCACCCTCTCCCCCATCGTCGGCTACTGGACCCCCACTGCTGGTGGGTGGGTGGCTGGTGAGCAGGGATCTGGCCAGCAGCAGGACCCACCAGTACTGATGGGGGGGTGGGGGGAAGAGACAGAAAATATGGGACAGTTTGCCCATTTTTAAGAAAAAGTAGGGACACCTGTAGAAGGGCTTAAATGCGGGACTCTCCCTTTAAAAACAGGACATCTGGTCACCCTAATACTTGAACTTCATGGCCTAATATGATTA